GAACTTGATTTAAACTGTTTTTTCATTGCGTTACTTTTTTTAAAAAACAGTTAAGAAAGGTTGTTTTCAGAGAACTTGAAAATTGTTCTTCCACATTTTACGTTTTTAAAATAGTTTTTTTTACAGAACTTGATTCAGAATGCTTTTCCACATTTTACTTCTTTTTTAAAACAGTTAAGAAAGGCGGTTTTTACAGTTTGATTCAGAATGTTTTTTCCAACTATACGTTTTTTTAAAAACAGTTAAGTTGTTTGCAGAGAACTGTTTTAAATTCTTTTTAATGTTTTACGTTCTTTTTTGAATAGTTAAGAAAGCTTGTTTTTACAGAACTTGATTCAAAATGTTTTTCCACATGCTTTACGTTCTTTTTAAAAACAGTTAAGAAAGATTGTTTGTAGAGAACTTGATTTAAATTGTTTTTCCCCATGTGATACGTTCTTTTTAAAAACAGTTAAGAAAGTTTGTTTGCAGAGAACTTGATTTAAATTGTTTTCCCACATGCTTTACGTTCTTTTTAAAAACTGTGAAGAAAGGTTGTTTTCAGAGAACTTGATTTAAACTGTTTTCCCCATGCTTTACGTTCCTTTTAAAAACAGTTAAGAAAGGTTGTTTTCAGAGAACTTGATTTAAATTGTTTTTCCACGTGCTTTACGTTCTTTTTAAAAAAAGTTTAAGAAAGGTTGTTTGCAGAGAACTTGATTCAAATTGTTTTCCACATGTTTTACGTTCTTTTTAAAAACAGTTAAGAAATTTTGTTTTCAGAGAACTTGATTTAAATTGTTTTTCCACATGTTTTACGTTCTTTTTTAAAAACTGTAAAGAAAGTTTGTTTTCAGAGAACTTGATCTAAACTGTTTTTCCCATGCTTTACGTTCTTTTTAAGAATAGTTAAGAAAGGTTGTTTTTACAGAACTTGATTCAAAATGTTTTTCCACATGCTTTACGTTCTTTTTAAAAACAGTTAAGAAAGGTTGTTTGCAGAGAACTGGATTTAAATTGTTTTTCCCCATGTTATACGTTCTTTTTAAAAACAGTTAAGAAAGGTTGTTTGCAGAGAACTTGATTTAAATTGTTTTCCCACATGCTTTACGTTCTTTTTAAAAACTGTGAAGAAAGTTTGTTTTCAGAGAACTTGATTTAAACTGTTTTTCCCTATGCTTTACATTCCTTTTAAAACAGTTAAGAAAGGTTGTTTTCAGAGAACTTGATTTAAATTGTTCTTCCACATGTTTTACGTTCTTTTTAAGAATAGTTAATAAAGGTTGTTTTTACAGAACTTGATTTAAAATGTTTTTCCACATACTTTACGTTCTTTTTAAAAACAGTTAAGAAAGGTTGTTTTCAGAGAACTTGATTCAAATTGTTTTTCCACATGCTTTACGTTCTTTTGAAAAAAAAGTTAATAATGGTTGTTTTCAGAGGATTTGATTTAAATTGTTCTTCCACATGTTTTACGTTTTTTTTTAAAAACAGTTAAGAAAGGTTGTTTTCAGAGAAATTGATTTAAATTGTTTTCCCACATGCTTTACGTTCTTTTTAAAAACTGTAAAGAAAGTTTGGCTTTCAGAGAACTTGATTTAAACTGTTTTTCCCCATGCTTTACGTTCCTTTTAAAAACAGTTAAGAAAGGTTGTTTTCAGAGAACTTGATTTAAATTGTTCTTCCTCATGTTTTACGTTCTTTTTAAGAATAGTTAAGAAAGGTTGTTTTTACAGAAATTGATTCAGAATGTTTTTCCACATGCTTTACGTTCTTTTTAAAAACAGTTAAGAAAGGTTGTTTTCCGAGAACTTGATTTAAATTGTTTTTCCACGTGCTTTACGTTCTTTTTAAAAAAAGGTTAAGAAAGGTTGTTTTCAGAGAACTTGATTTAAGTTGTTTTTCTACATGCTTAACTTCTTTTTAAAACCAGTTAAGAAAGGTTGTTTTAAGAGAACTGGATTTACATTGTTTTTCCCCATGCTTTACGTTCTTTTTAAAACCAGTTTAGAAAGTTTGTTTTCAGAGGATTTGATTTAATTTGTTTTTCCACATAATTTACGTTCTTTTTAGAAACAGTTAAGAAAGGTTGTTTTGAGTGAACTCGATTTAAATTGTTTTTCCACATGTTTTATGTTCTTTTTAAAAACAGTTAAGAATGGTTGTTTTCAGAGAACTCGATTTAAATTGTTTTTCCGCATGCTTTACGTTCTTTTTAAAAACAGTTAAGAAATGTTTTCTTCAGAGGATTTGATTTAAATTGTTTTTCCACATGTTTTACGATCTTTTTAAGAATATTAAGAAAGGTTGTTTTCAGAGAACTTGATTCTAATTGTTTTTCCACATGCTTTATGTTCTTTTTAAAAACAGTTAAGAAAGGTTGTTTTCAGAGAACTTGATTTAAATTGTTTTTCCACATGCTTTACGTTCTTTTTAAAAACAGTTAATAAAGGTTATCTTCAGAGGACTTGATTCAAATTGTTTTTCCAAATGTTTTATGTTCTTTTTAAGAATAGTTAAGAAAGGTTGTTTTCAGAGAACTTTATTCAAATTCTTTTTCCACGTGCATTACGTTCTTTTTTAAAAACAACTAAGAAAGGTTGTTTTCAGAGACTTTGATTTAATTTGTTTTTCCACATGCTTAACTTCTTTTTAAAAACAGTTAAGAAAAGATTTTTTCAGAAAACTTTGTCGTCCCCACGAAGCAAAATTATGTTTTACGTTCTTTTTAAAACCTGTTCAGAAAAGTTCTATTTTAATTTAGACACATCTAGGTTTAAAGAATTAGTGACTCAGAAAGTTACCCGAAACCGCTATATTTGCAAGATATAAATATTTTCCGCTTACATATATGTTCTACAAATACAAAGATAATGACAGACACACTTGAAGAAGAGAAGCAACACAACAACCGTATTATTTTTGAAGAGTTTAACGTACAGAAAAGGGTGTATGCACAATAGATAAAAAGAATGCTTGAAAATATAATTTATATTTACGGACTATTTATTTTAGGAGAATATCTAAGTAACAAGTGGACTTCGCGGCTTCTGTAATGCTTTAACATCGGAAGGGAAGGTTATAGTCAATGTGTTCTACGGCTGCCAGTTCCAAAAGAGGAAAATTTCAGGATCGAAAACAACTATCCAAACAGAGTCCCGGATTAGTAAGGGTTTCAAGTTCACGGTTGATCTTTGAATAGAAAAGGATTATCTCCCTTTAGTGTCACTTTCAAATTCTTTTACATTCATGGGTTGTTAAAATTTAAAATTATGTGTAGTTATTTCAGGATACTATTTAATATTTTTGTCTAGTAATTTCAGAATACTATTTAATGTTCAAGTATATTGCTTTATCACTTACTACCAAAAGACAAAAACATGGTGTACTGTACTTATGTTCTACAAAGCATTTCTTCTTCAAATGTGCGAATAAGTGTCCCGTTTACAACTGTTTACATCTGTAACCATACATTTTTTCAGGATCTTTATTTCTTTTGACCCGAGAGGCAGGATTAATTGGTACCTGCCCATCCCACAATTATATTAAGAAGAATTAGAACTATCATGCATCTGCAAAAAGCAACTTCTGACGCACCTTTTAACAGTTCCTGTCGTCATTAGTCACCAGTCCTCTAGTTTTCTAACTTTCTTTTGTAAATATAAAAGCATGGTATCGTCCCCGCATGTATCAGCTACTTATAAGGGTTTCGTATCATCCCAAAATCAGCTGTGTAAAATTATATGATTTTCCTTTGCTCTGACGATGAAATTCTAGAAATTATTTCATCTTTTAGAAAGGCTAACGTGGCAGATAGTGGAAATTCCACGCCCGTTAATTCTGATAAAATTAAAACTGCATGTGAAAATTTGCAGCTTGAATTAATACCTTCTACTTTGAAATTTGCTTCAAAATACAATATCTACTCCTCTATTGAGGAAAGGAAAATATCTTTTAATATTTCTGCAGGAAAAATAACGATTTGGAGGAGAAAAGAAAAAACGTAACTTTCAACATTAACCAAACATTAGACTTTGAAAAGCAATGGTGACAAATTCACCACTTGGTTACATAAAAAACAAAAAACAAAAACAGCGTTCTAAGCTAATTATGGAAATCAAAAGTATTATTATTAAGCGTAATAAAAAACATATTGTGTTACTAGAGGTAGTAAAATAACAGTTATTTAATTGTTCTATTACGTTGATATCCCGATTTAGTCTTCATCACTCGCAATAAGGTAAGAAAAACACTGATGTTTGCAAATAAAATTGTATACCTTTTATTACCGAGAAAATGAACAGAGAGAAGGAAATTACAAACATGGACATAGCAGGAGTTTTTCAGGAAAAGAGCAAACAACCCAGCAGTCCCACCCCGGCAAAATTCTGAATATTTTTGACGATCCTGTGGTATATGAGGTCCTAATCTGTAACTTGTTTACCTTATGCTCAAGGGTGAGTGCCTGGATGTTCATGTGTAATATTGAAAAATATTATAAAGTATGTGATATTGCTATGTTATATACTGTATTTCCATATTCCCCACCCACAGAAATAACTCACGAAAATTTAACCTACATCAAAAATATATCTTTTATTTTATGCCTATTTAATTTATGTATTTAATTTTGTAAGTATTGAGGTGTGTACTTGAGTGCGGAGCGTATTAGATGTTGAGAAAGGTAGGTATTTTCGCAGAGGGCTTTTCTTTTCTTCCTCAAACTTAATTTGCTCAAGTCTACTTTTCCCCTCCTCATTCTTTTCCGCCTAATTTTGTTTTCTTTAACCGGATTGGTTGAAGAAAACAAAATTAGGAGGAAAAGAATGAGGACATCTTTCCATTCTGACATCCAGGTATATAAGACTTATAAACAAGCTTAATGATTACGCATGCGTTTTAACCGATATCGGTATGCATAGGCTTGTCTTTTTCCAATAGGTAATAAGCCAACAGGTTGAACAGAAGTATACTTTTTGGTTGGTCACGTGCACACCAAACACCCGGTTAACACTGCAACCATGTATGAAAAACCGAAAATAAACTGGGAAGATATATTGGTTATCATTGCATACTTTGTTATTGTTATATCCGCAGGAATATTTGTGAGTATTTTAATTGATTATTTTCAAAATATTAACATGTTGAAAATGAAGCAACAATAAACATATTTCCAGATAATGTAAAACTTCTTGTTCGATTTATCTTGGCATAACTTATCTTTGTTGTTGCTGTTGCCATTTTAAACGGCAACTGTAAACATTTTCAATGTCCTTCTAATCATTGTAATACTATGTATCTAAATATTTTCTGCTTGAATGGTTCTTATACTTAAATACAAACAAAGATATATTTATCACTATAAATACCTATCTATCTATCTATCTATCTATCTATATATATATATATATATATATATATATATATATATATATATATATATATATCATCCTCCTTGAATTACCCATTCAGTTTTACCAAGTTCTTCGTAACTTAACTATATATATATATATATATATATATATATATATATATATATATATATATATATATATATATTATTATTATGGTTGTCACAGGACATAAGTACATCCTGTAACAACAATGATTAAGCATTTCCTATACAGGTTGGATATTTAGAATATGCATTGTATTGGTGAAAATCAGTGAGTAATTTGAGCGTCTTCTTGAGATGAAAAACAAGTTGATTTGGAAATTCTTTAAAATATTAGATAATTGTCAGATTTTAATGAAACTTTTAGAACTTATTCACGAATGAAAGAAATTATTTTTCAAATGTTTTTTTTTTCTATGTAACTTTGTGAAAATATATTTCACATCTGTTACCCCATCCCCACAACATATTTAATTTTATGTATTTTCTGTGATATTCTTTTTCGTCGTGCTTAAAATTTATTACTTACAAGGACAAGGCAGTCGGAGAATTTAACATAAATTTTTTTTGGTTAAATAGTACACGCAGTTACAGAAAATCTGCCCTGAATCGTAAAATAAAAAAAAGTATTTAATTAAAAAAGCATTTAATTGCTTTTATAAATGAAATTTATTATGGACTTACTTACGAAAAACAATTTTGGGTGGGGCGAATAATGAATTTTGAGAATAATTTTTGTCCTTTTTTACATTTAAACTTTTAAATATCTTTAAAAAAATGTATTAATATGTAGGGGACAAGTGCTATTGTTTTTAAATAAAAACTTTATTTACTAATCATAAACAGAAAAGCTTACTTCAGTTCAGCGACGCCAGTTTTTTAAAAAGAATTTTGAATTTTGTTTGTGCGTATAAACGTGCTGAATTTTGTAAATACGTAGGATACACGATATTATCAGAAAATAACAGTGGTAACTACTGTAAATTTGAAATTTATTGGTAATTTTCTAACATTTCTACAACAAGCGTTTTTGTAAGTAAAGCTATAAATGCTTAAAATATTTTTCATAATTTAAAATTACTGGGTAGTTAAAAAAATTATATAACAAAAGGCGTTTATGTCGTATTTGTCATGTAAATTTTACACAATTACTTGAACCTTACGTAAATTTGCCAAAGATAAATGTCAATAAATGTGTTAATGCCTCATCAAAACATCTCTGTGTTAAAGAAAATGCATTTCTGGCATATTTTAAACTGAAAGTAAGTAGTTTTTGTTTAAATTCAGATAAAATAGCTGATTTAAAAATTAATTATTCTCAAATAACCTTTCAGAAAAGTATATTTCATTTTTGAAAGATTTTTTAATTTTTTTAATAAATTATTTAAATCAATTTAAATATTGTTTGAAATACAGCAGCTTATTTTGCTTATAGGAAATATTAAATTTAATCAATTAGTTTGGAATTAAAAACTATGATAAAAGCTTTAAGACAGTTTTATTTTTATTTTTAGAACATATTTTAAACCTAAGATACCGACTTTACGATATATAAATTATGATCAATGTATAATTCTACGAAATCATACATGCACAAACTCACTTAATAGAGATAGGTCGATAGACTCATCCTTCTACTAGTATGAGATATGGCAAAAGGCGGAGTTAAATGTAGCAGAAATCATGTCTTTATCAATCATTAGTTCTCCATCAGTCGGAGTTTTTCTTTTAACAAACAGATCTTCTATTGTTCAAAATACCTCGTCTTGTTAGACTGGTTTTGAAAACTGGTTTGACATGATGAACACATTCCGTCAAATATATAACAAAACTGGGTTGTAGGCTATTTATTTGAAAGAAAGAGAAAAACAGAAGAAAAAGTTTAACTAAACTCTACTAATGAACACATGAAAAATTAAGAGTCTGTCTATATTTCTGAGATGAGGTATTATGTACAGTATTTACATTGGTCGGACTATTGCCCTCATCTTTGTCGCCATATTTGTCATAACGTTGTACGCTCCGGCCTTCTTCAAATTAAATAAAAACTTACAGAATATTACCATCAAGTATAAAGATATATGTACGCCCCCACCACATACCTATATATATATATATATATATATATATATATAGAGAGAGAGAGAGAGAGAGAAGAATAGATAAGTTGGTCAATAAAACTGTTTGATGGTTGTATATATTTATTTATATAATGTTTTCATTTTCAAAACGCGGCAAGAAAGAACAAATGCACAATTTTTAAATAATTTATCACCCGAAAAGAAAACTTATACGATCACATGAGAAATTGTATAAAAAACTAAATCAAAATGCCTTGTCTGTCATGTTCGATGAAACATGCATGAAAGAAGGATCCCTGCCTAAATACACAAATATATATATATATATATATATATCAAGTATGTGGTGCAGTTCAATTTACATTACATGAATCATTCATACAAAAAACAATTATAGAAGTTAATGATTTAAATGGCGAGAATACATCCTCGCAAACAAATTTAATAAAGTACATGTTATGATCCCTGTTTATAAATTCCAGTTGCATAAGGTCTTTTTTTTTTAGTTTTTTACAAGCTTTCATCTGTTCCTACAGACATCATCAGGTATGGAAATAGATTTGTTTTTGTTTTTTACTTCTCGGTAATAACAGGACAACGAAAATATAGATGTAACCCGAAAAATGTTTTTAGAAATAATAAATTGCTAATTGTAAGAAATTTTTTTGGAGCATGCAGTCACAACGCTGAGGTCGAATTTTTAAATTTTAAGATTGTGCGTTTTTGTACTAATATGGTAATAGGAGAATTCTTTTGTACAAAAGAATTCTCCTATTACCATATTAAAATTTCTTACAATTAGCAATAACACGTTTTTTGTATGAATGATTCATGTAATATATATATATATATATATATATATATATATATATATATATATATATATATAAAGATTTCTCAGAATTAACCTGTAGAAAAAGACAATATGTATTAAGGAAAAGACAATAGGAAAACTGTTGTTTTAGCCGACGCGTTTCGTCCAATGTGGACATTTTCAAAGCAAAAAACGAAATGAATTTAGTATTTACTCGAAAAAAGATCGATTTAATGTGGGAAGCCCAAGCGCATACACCCTGGTAACGAACAAAAATTCCCCGAGCCCCCGCAACCAGGTCTGGTCATCTCTCAGTATAAATTTATTCAGTTTCAACGCTCGACTCTTCCGGTGTACCCATACCCGATTTCCCCCTTAGAACTGAGGCTCTATTGAGCGAGCTGCACATAACCCCGTCATCGGTACTGAGCATTATCTCTAATTTAGACCCCCACTAGGCTAGTGGTGGAGACGGGATACCAGCCATTGTCTTGAAGAAATGTGTGCCCGAACTGGCCACTGCACTCTCCAAATTATATAACTGCTGCCTCAATGAATCTTTTTTTTCAGACTGTTGGAAGTCCGCATCCATTGTTCCTGTCTAAGAACTCTGGTGACACTTGTGACCCTTCTAATTACCGTCCTATCTGTCTCCTACCCCTATTCGGTAAAATCTTCGAAGTTTTAATCAACGCCGAAGTGGTTAAGCACCTTACATCCCATGATCTGCTCTCTGACAAGCAATATGGATTCCGCTTTGCTCGTTCTACAGTTGATGTGCTTACGGCCATCACTGAAACTGTTTACCAAGCTCTCCATGATAACGGAGAAGCTCGTGCCGTGGCCCTAGACATCTCCAAAGCATTTGATAGGGTTTGGCATGCTGGCCTTCTTCGCAAGCTTCAGGGTTATGGAATTTCAGGTCGATTGCTTGACTTAATACAATCATTCCTGTCAAACCGTGTACTGAAGGTTGTTCTCAACGGATTCTCCTCCAGATCCTATCTCACGAATGCAAGTGTTCCTCCAAGGTTCCATCCTAGGCCCTACTCTGTTCCTTATCTTCATTAACTCTTTTCCTGGCGTCATAGATTCCCAAGTAGGCATCTACGCAAACTGCTCTCTATTACTCATCACAGAGAACCACCCCTGTCCCCCATTAGAATGTCAGACGCTCAACTTCTCGAGAGCTCCTATTTGCGACTACTCGGCCTGATATTGACGGCTGACCTGAGATGGAACAAATACATTGAGTCAATAGCTTCGTCCACCGCAAGGAAAGTTGGCTCCCTGTGCCAAGCCAGGAAATTTTTCTCCCCGGAATCGATCCTCCAGATCTACAAATCAATAATTCGCCCTTGCATGGAGTATTGCTGCCATATATGGTCTGGAGCCCTCTCTGTTTGCCTCGGGGTTCTTGATAGGCTCCAGAGGCGGATATGCAATATAATTGGCCCTACAAATCAACCATTCGCCCTTGCATGGAGTATTGCTGCTATATATGGTATGGTGCTCCTTATGTTTGTCTCAAGGTTCTTGATACGATCCAGACACGGATATGCAACGTAATTGGCCCTGATCTGGCATCTCGTCTGCAGTCGCTCTCTCAGAAACGTGCCGTCGCCTCCCTCTGTCCTTTTTACAGATACTTTCATGGTAACTGCTCCGAGGAGCTGCTTTCGCTGGTTCCCAGACTTCATGAATTTAAACGTTCTATTAGGCTGGCATCTCGCTCACACCCTTTCACAGTCGAAACTGTTAAATGTAGCCATCTCTTCTACACCAATAGCTTCATGTCTCGCACCTCTCGCCTGT